TGTAATTTTTACAAAAAAAAAATATCAAAACTCATAACCTCTTATGATCTTTCCATTATTTTTTTAAAAAACATAGGTATGAAGGAACAACAACAAAATTAAACTACAAGTTTATTTATTTTACATCAGAATATTCGACTTTTTAAATCATAATTAATCACGCACAAAATATTGGCAAAATTGATATATAATAAAGGAAGGTTTTACTTAGATTGATGGTGGTGAATTGCGGGAGAAACTGAATTGATTAAGTGAATAAGTACATCACTTAAAAAGTACAACAAGGGTTCCGATTAGTCTTAAGGAGCAGCATAAGGGAGTCAACTTTCCTGAAACAGATTACATGATATGTTCCTTGAATTTCCATTTGTCATATTTAAAGAGATTAAACATATTTTAATCTTAATAGGAATAATAATCCCTATTTTTAATTATGAAATACAATATTAAAGGAGTGTGCTTACATTGGCATGTTTCAAAATATAATATAGTTATTTTAATCATATATATTATGGATTAATTAAAAAGTCTCCTCCCCACGAAAAAAGTAGGAATAAATCCACCGGATTGAATCTAAGATCTAATAGTTCTAAATATATCAAAAATGCATTAAAATAGATCAAAAACGCTGTGACATTTTTGCAATTAAATCAAAGTTTTTCTTCTTTACCAAAAGTGAAGTTCCTATGTGCAAAAGTGTATCATTAATGAGAAAACATCATCATCATCATTATCCTAGTGCCGCAAATGCTCCCACCTACAGTGGGATAAGAGATGTCAGATGTCCTTGATCTTACCTCTGTACTAAAAGTACAGAGAGACTGTTTCGGTGTTCATGAGAAAAAGTGAATGATGAAAATCATCTAGACATAATAGTGCACTTTTAGATGACCAAAAGTGAAGATGTTCGCTTTCTCATGGCAAGATCACTCTTTTTGGAATCAAAGTTGATCTAGAGATCAAATACAAATTCTCTTTAATTTACAAACTACAAACTCATCTTGGTCATCCAATGAGTTGATCTTAAGTCTACAAAGGTGAGGTGACATTTTTGTAATAAAAGCCAACTTTTTTAGGATGCAAACTCTTTGAACATTAATATGCAACTACTATTTTATGGTTGAATAATATTAAACATTTTGAACTTCAATATGCAAACAAATAACATAAAGATGTCACGTATAAATGTTTGCGTAATAAGCATAGTTTGTACCTGATCTGCCATGTTATTAGTAATATTGTAATAATCAGAATTTTTTTTGAGATACTTAAAAAATATTGAAAGTTTTAATTTCTATTTGGTAATCTCCAATTTCAGCTTATTAGTTCTATCACTCAATTGAAGTTACTTTTCTGACCTAATTGATTGAAGTTACAGTGAAGGATAACTTTAGTCAATTTTCTTATAGTTTTTATAATTTTATCAATAGAATTTATTTTAAATATAATTTTTTCATAATTCAGCGAATTCAGCTGAAACTTGATCAATTTCTGCGGATACGGTCGAATAAACGAATCTCAATGTTACATAGTAAGGTCCTTAACCTTTTGGTGCTTTTATTTGGTCCAAAAAGGTGGAATCTCCCACCCCAGGAGCCCCTCATACCCCGACCCGACAGGATTTTTGGGAGGATGTTAATCACGGTGACTCAGTCGGCCCAATGATGGGGAGCAGCACAAGGGAGTCAACATTCTTGAAACAGATTACAATATATGTTCCTCAAAATTCCATTTCTAATTGATCCCCTGATTTAAGTTTCACTTTATTGGACCAAGCACAATGTCAACAATAAGGAATGGATTGCCATGAAACCATCTATACACATGCCTAGACTGATTGTGATAAGACATTTCAACCAGCACAAATTTCTCCTCAAATTGTGCTATAAATGCTAAAATAAACTTTTCCTTGCAAAGTCTTGATAAAGTCCAATAATTTGTTTATAGCCACGTGACAGAAAATGGCATAATTAATTTAATGGAAGGAATCACCCATGATTAAGAAGAACATTAGAGTGGTGGTGATGGTGATTAGGTCATTGATCAGGTCATAGTCACAGTAAACTTTTACTAAAAATAATTTATTGAGGTACACACATAGGTAGGAGTAGTTACTAGTTATTGACTTATTGCTATTATATAGAAAACTGTTCCAAAAATAATAATGTTTCACTTCTACAGAGAAAATTATTGCAGCAGCATAAAGCATGCAACAATTTAGACTAAAGATGCAAGATTTCTTGAATGAATTCACTTCTACATGTGCTTAGCTTGTTTAAGTAGTGGTGTTTGACAAAAAAATGAGTCTCCGCAACAATTTACTTGCAAAATTTCATTGGGACTAAGGTTTAGATTTTGTTCTACAAATTTTTTGCTGTGTATTCTAAATAATCACGCTATATAATTGTAGTGCAGATCAGAAGTAGAGGTTCATCTTCATTTTTTCACATAGAACACTTTTTCGTTTTAACCAAATTCCATTCGAATGATCACATTACGAGTCAAGAGATGTGACTTCTGGAAAATTGACATGATTTACATTTAAAATTGCTAAAATTTGATAATCAACATTAGTTATATTTCCAAATTTTAAAAATAACTTCTTATCTGCTCATTAGCTACTTGAAGTTTATAATATTTACATATATATGAGACCAATATTTATCTCTAAATCTCTAGGCATCATTTAAAATAACATTTATCTCACTTACCTATGAATTTTTAAACTCAAGTATCAGGGACGTAATTGGGGGGCAACCTAGTCCCCTAGTCACTCCTAATTTCGATTTTGTTTAAATTATTATGGTGAAAAAAATTGTGTACAAAAATTTCCAAAAAACTTTGTATCGGCATAGTTCAATATATCGTCTTGGCTACAGTCTAAGGGTGGACCCGGACCGGGCCGGGCCGGGCCTCGGGAATTGACTATGCGGGACTGGGGGCCTGGACTGCAGGCCCGGTACCGGCCCGGGTTTGTAACGGGTCCGGGCTAGGCCGGGCCCGGGTCGGGTCAATATTTTTTTAAAATAGCTTTTCTAATTAATTCCTACCCCCTCCCCACCCACCACTCCCCAAATCCCCCCAAACCACCCAGCCCCACCCACTAACCGCAACCCAAAGCCAAAAAAATGGGCCCGGACCAGTCACCTTTTTTGTCTTGTAGCCTGCCCCCTATCCCCGGTTCGGGCCCCTAGTACCGATCCCGGTACCACCCGGCGGGCCGGGTCGGGCCTGCACAATAGCAAGTCGGGTCCTGGGCCGGGCCGACCTGTCCTAGTCCATCCCTAGGTTGCACCGCTGTCAAGTATCACCTCAAAACTAACAGTCCTTTTAATACTCCAGTACACATGAGGTATTTTTCTTAGCATTATAACAAACTTTCAAGTAAAGAATATCACTGCACCATAACATTATCATAATATTTTATATTTTATATCAGAAATATTTCAATATATAGATCCTCCAAAGGTCGCAGATCACTAATTTTCATATTAAATGACTTAAATCTTATAGAGATGGAGGGAAGAAGCCTGATTTGTATAAAGTTCATCCAAGTAGTACACATTGCATTATTTTTCACCTTAGATATTAATATGAAATAGTGATGGTGAGATTTACCGCATTAAATATTCCTCTTATTGTGCTTTGACCATAAACGCAAATGGCATCAATCTCTTCTTGGATTAATGTGAGGGATTGTGAGATAATTCTTGGTGTACATCCTGAGTTACACTCTCTTTATTTGCTATATGCACACAGACAAAAATCCAACAAAAACGAACTTTCGATTAAACTGTACGTGTGAATAAAATTAATTTTCAGATCTGTCAGGTTGGTTGCACGGAAACCAATGTCGGTGTACATAGACATTAGTTGTCTGTGTAGACAAAAAGTGTCTGTGTGAACAAATTGGTTTGCAAGTGTCGGTGTACACAGACACTAGTTGTCTGTGTAGAAAAAAAGTGTCTGTAAGATTTAATAACTAACTGATAGATTTCGTCTGTGTACACAGACACTGAGAGCAAACCAGTGTCGGTGTGCATAAAACGTAAAAAGAAAGAATTAAAGAAGAAAAAGAAGATAATGATGATGAACAACAATGATTCAAAGGAATCGTTTCTAAACTTAGCTAATAAAACGTAAAAAGAAAAGAAAAAGAGAGAAGGGAAAAGAAGAAGATGATGATGAAGAAAGAAGAAAAAGAAGAGAGGAAGGGGTGCATATGAATGAAGAGGGGAGGAGGGAGAGAGAAAAGAGTGGGGAGGGAGGGAGGAAAAAGTGGGAAGTGAAATAAAAAATGGAGGGTTATATAGGGTGTAACCCTGAGTGTAACCCATGGTGTACCTAAATAATTTTCCATGTGAAATTATGGGTAGAAGATCTACCAACAACATTCATATAATCTAACGAAGATGCAAATCTTCTACCAGAAATCTAACAAATGTGCAATAATAGGAACTAGATTTGTACAAAATCAGTTACAAATGAAAGAAAGAAAAAACTTCTCTGAAGTTTTACAAGCTTTTTGGTAACTGTTAACTTTTAGTGATTGAAAAGATCTTAAAAGTAAAAGGTGGTACCTATTTGGTAAAAAGTTGACTATTTGGTTTAGTTCTGTTTGGTATACAAGTTGTTGGGACTAACTAATGCTAAAAGCCACAGATTTTTCTCAGATGCTACTCCCTGTAGCATCTCAAAAAAATCTTTTATTTTTTGAAAAGCTTTTAACAATTGTCATACCAAACATATAACTAGAAGCTTTTAGGGACTTTTTAAATAGTACAAAAGTTAAAAGACAGAACCTTAATGACTTCTTTTTATTGAACTCAACTGTCTTCATTTTCATGTCCTGGTTTTTTCTTGTTGAAAACCACACGTTTAGACATGTAGTTGATCATTGAGTCATTGGCATTATATAACCCGGACACTATCTTCCCATTTTTATTAATTTAGTCTAGCATTCTTATATTTTAAATTAATGGGAGGCTAATAAAAGTGTGATTTTCCGTTAAAGATTTCGCGCGTTGAAACCGGACATTCATAGGGACTTGGGGAGCCCTATACCAAAAACCATGTTGATGTATTCGATCAGGTCTCTATTGGCCATACCTGATTACAATAAAAATCCTATTTCTGGAGTCTGGACATCTTAAAACAACATGAAGATGGGATAAATGAAAAGCTGCTTATAGAAAACTGAAAAAGTAGTTCAGAAAGTCTACGATGCAACCATTTACTAAGTAGACACTTCTGAAATAAATCATAATCTGAGCTTCAATGGTCACAAATTCCATTTGCCACACCCGCCACTGCTCGCTGCATGAGTTTGACAAAATACAAACCAGCATAAGTGTTCGTTGGAATTTTTCGATAACCTATCCTACATGTGTATTTCAGTCCTTAGTATTAGTATACCTCGGAGCAGGATATTGCATATTGCACATCAGCATCTGAAATCTGGTGGTGAATCACAAACCTGATTCTGCATTCACAACAATCAAGCATCAATATCAGCAACATTTTGTTGTGTAAGGGGGGTGAATGAGGATTTCCCTGATAAATGGACAATTTACCATATGAGAGATGGACTTCCTCACCTTATGTTCTAAAGAAACAATCACATACTTCATATATAAGTTTTTAGACTATTCCTCGTATTAGGTTAACCTTTTAAAAAAGAAACCCTAAACAGTAGTATAGGCTTGGATGGGCAAGGCCTTATAAGCTCGCCTAGCTCCGCCGGTAGTACCACGGGGAAGTTTAACTAAGTAAATGAACATGAAATTTTTTTATCAGAGAAGTGAAATTGAACACACTTTTGTATGCCTTCAGGTAGAGCGAGTACACCAAGTCCCGCTAAGATCTTGCACAATTCCAGTTCTGTTACGTCCGCCTCCTTAAGTATGTCGCAGTAGACCTAATCAAAAGATTTTTTATTGCAGTATTTTATAAGGGTGGACAGGCAAAGCATACACATAAAAAACTTGACATCAACTAGGCTACAGATCTTACGATATTTGTCTCTACCGTAGCAATGTCAACTTTCAGTCCTCTAATTTTGCTAAGCCCAGCTGGGAAATTCATGGTAACGAAATGGAATTATAAACCAATTAAAGAAGGCAAAAAAAATTTTGTTATTGTTATCCACTATGCAAACTGAGTGGAGGGAGAAGAAGACTACCTGCTAAAAGTTTAGCCCTTTTGTGGTCTTCTTCGAGCTTAGCGACGTTTTCTTGAAATCCGACAAGAGCAGCAGCACACAAGACGCCAACCTGTCTCATTCCTCCCCCCAAAGTCTTCCTCAAAATCTTAGCCTTTTAGAAGAAAAAAGTTAAAAAAGAAAAGATTATAATTCTACAGTCAATGATAGAAAAATCCTTTACTGAATAAATGACTAAAATATGGAGTTATAGCAGTCAATTGCTGACCCTGTCAATGAAGCTTTTTGAACCAACAATTACAGTTCCTACCGGAGCACCCAGACCTTTTGACAAACAAACCTGCATATAGGTTCAGTATAAGTTAGTATAAGATGTGCCAGCAGATCATGTAATACACTATATGGACCAACAATCCAACATTTATGTTTATCCTACAGAGGGCATGTTAAGCAAAGGAATAACTTACAGAAACCGAGTCAGCAGCCTTCACAAGCCTGCTAGGGGGGATGCCAAGTGCCTGGAAATTCATTCATCCAATAAAAACCACGGCTATGTGAAGCAAATAAATATAGTAGAAAACACTACTATTACACACTGCGAGAGCCTCCAAGAAAAGATTCATGGAAAGAATATGCAATTAAAACTCAAAAAGTTTATGTACATCTATACTATAAAATGATTGCTCGGAAACACTTAGGGGTGAAATTTTTGGAAACTTTTAGTGTTGGTTTGGTTCGGTGATTTCATACAAAGGGGAAGGAGAAGGGAAGGGTTGATTGATTTTTGTCTTACTAAATCAACTTTATTTGTTAGTTTTAACTAAAAACAACTATATGCTGTAGATCATGTGTTTCTATTTTTTTATTAGCTTCACTTAATTCCCAACCTGCGAAATATATAAATTATTTAAAAATAGATATTACCCCTCACAACCGCTTCTCACATTTCTGTGCTACTTATATGCTATATTAAGACTTCAGATTTATTGACACTTGTGGTGGGACCCTTCCCTAGATCCTTGCCTTGCTGGGAAATCTTCGTGCACCGGGCTGCCTTTTTATTAGGACTTGGGATTTATCCTAAAAGGCCAACCTCTTATTAGACCAAAGTGTTATATGTTGGATGTATTTTCATATTTATTCAATGTGGGACGAAGTAGTCTGTTATTGATGAATTGATAGAATCATTCCAACCGGTCTTTAGCCCCAATAGGCCCTTCTTGACTGCTAAGAACTTTATAGAACTTTCATATCTAATACGTAGTAAGTTTTGATCAAGATTGTGATGGTGATTTGAGCATGCATGCAACCTTAATCTATCGATATAAAAATCTGGCTTGCTTGTAAGAAAATCTTTTGGTGCCTTTACGGAAAAATAAGGTTTGGCAAATGACAAAAGGACTGTACTCACAACAGATGCATTGAATATGCGAGCTCCATCAACATGAAGTTTGATCCCATATTTCTTAGCTAGCTCTCCAACTTTGTCTGTATACTCTGCTGAGAGGCATCTGCCTCCAGAACTGTAATCAGATAACAATTTGTTAGTAAGAGCTGAGATGCTAGTCATACAACTGGCGGCACCTCATCCTAGAAGACCTACAAACCCACAAAGTTACGTAATAAAGTTTAACAAAGGTCTTCAGTAATGGATCACCTCATTTTTGAAGTTACGCTTCTCAGGTTTTAAACGAATCAAACGATACAAGGATACATGAGTGAACTTCACAAAGGCGCTTCTACGTGTCTTTAACCAGCATTTTATTGGTGTTTTTAAGGGCAGGGCTCCTTTGTTAAAAATGTACAAAATTATTAGACATAAGTTGCTATGACTTATGGAGTATTACATAAGTATTTTAAGGTTTGGGCAAGGATACATGAGTAATGCAAGGATACATGAGTGAACTTCACAAAGGCCCTTCTGGGTGCCTTTAACCGGCATTTTATTGGTGTTTTTAAGGGCAGGGATCCTTTTTTAAAAATGTACAAAATTATTAGACAAAAGTTGCTATGACTTATGGAGTATTACATAAGTATTTTAAGGTTTAGGCACCTAGGTTCTCACTAGGCACTAGGTGCTTGTCTGACTAGACATAGTTTCTTTGATATATTTGTCTATAGGGTTTGGTAGTCCTATTTTAGGAAGAAAACATACTTGACCCTATTTTAGAATTTTGCCCATGTTTTTTATCCTATTTTGAGCAATTTCTAAATTAATAAAAAGTGATTAAAGACTGAACCAAATAACTTAAGTTGGCTTCATTTACGTCACTTCAGGTTAGTTTTCGTTGGTTTTGTTGGGCCGGAGTAGGTTCACTCAGTTGTAAGGCCTAATTCATAAATCCCAAACCAGAGCACCTATGGTTACTTTGGTTTGGGTCAGTTTCAGTTTAACAGTCTATTTTTGTTATTCCTTCTTTAAACTATTAACAACTTTATGAGAATGATGAACCAAAAAAGGATGTTATAATGACATGATATGTGATCCTTACTGTGCATATGAGTTTTCCAAGCAGATTAGTCTAGTGGTTGGGTAACATATCTCAAATCTAAGATCTCGGATTGCTGCTTCAATCAGATCGAGATCCATTGTTCCGTCATCATTGTTTCTTATTGTCCTTGGATGAACACCTCCTATGGTGGAAATGCCACCATTTTCATAAATGTGGATGTGTGAATAATCACCAAGAATGACTTCACTTCCCCTAATCGGACAATGAGTAAGCACACTTATTAGGTTACCCATGGTGCCCGAAGGAACGAAAAGGCCAGCTTCTTTGCCCATTATCTTAGCAATCTCAGCTTCAAGGCGTTGGGCCGTAGGGTCATAGCCCAAAACATCATCATCTACTTCAGCACTTGCCATTGCAGCCCGCATGGATTCCGTTGGCTTAGTAACTGTGTCAGATCGGAGATCCACAGTTCTGCTCATCATTTTCCCTGATGATTTAACTGAAAGTACTATCAAACAAGCATATTTGATCAACACAGACGCTACAATTCTTGATATTGCATAGTACTTGACATTCAAACTAGAAAAGTTGTTAGGTCTTTTAGTAACGAGGGATGTATTTTTTGTGCTCCATGGAATCACTCAGTCACCAAACAGTCAAAAATACCAAAAAGAAAGTTGGGGTCACTCAAGTGGTTCATAATACATGTGGTCAAACAATGGTAAAAAGTTGAATCCAATCATATGGTTAGTCTAATACAAAACCATATAAATCATATGTTCCTCTTTAGTATTTCACAAATTCATAATTTCTGGAATTTCATAAATTCAGCCAAACTTATAGGCTCATAGCATAGCATAACCACAACATCATCATGATCTATTTAATAAAATATTTGATAAAGATCTTACAAACAAAATTGCTTTAGAATTGGAAATTAGAAGAAAAATAAACAACAACTCGGCAACTCCTAAAACAGGATATGAAACAGTGGAATATGAAATACTATCGTAATATAACAGTAATAAACAGCACACAAATAAGAAAACAATGTACTTTTTGAATTCCTGAAGCAGAATAGGATCAAACTAACGAAGTTCAACACAACAGAATCTTTCCACTCACCTGCACCACAAAAACACCAAAAAAACAGTACCATGAATCAGAAAGATTTCTTTATTATTCCCTCCCTCCCAAATTAAGTCAAACATTTTTGGTCAAACATTAATAAAAGTCAATCCTTTCTATCGATAACTAATTCAATTTTTAATAATTAAAATTTACATATTCAAAAACTAAATTGAAATCTCTTCAAAGTTGCAAACTACAAATTAGAATATAATTAAAAATTAACATCCTAATTAAGCGAATAAAACAAAACTGTTTGATCAAGAAAAGTCAAATTTGCAAATCAATTTGGGACAGACGAAGCAGAAACAGAGAAAAACTACATAGCTTGAGAAGAAATGTGAAGACATACCACAACTCAAACTTAACCTCAAACTTGTGAGAAGGGAGACTGACAATAACATGTATATATAGACACATGGAAAGTGTGAAAAAAGGATTTTTTTTTACAGAGACACGTCAAAAGAGATAAGATTTACAGCTTTACTACTTCACTGCGCCAATTAACCCCGCCCCCACATAAGTTCAAAACATGCACGCCTTACGCCTAGTTTTAGACAAGTGGGTAACAAAACCCGAAAGGCCAATTTAGGGCCTCTGTAAATTTGCTGCTGTAAAGATTCCTTAGTGTTACCGTCATACCTACATTTCTGAAAATTTCTGAAATAAAACGGCTCTGTACTATCTAAATCTGAAAAATGTGCAGAATACCTCAGGCATTCCCCATTTTCAGTTCACCCTGTTTGAGGGTTGCCGACCCTCTTAAGCTCTACTTCGTCTCTTTAGCTCTAGAGAAATTTAGTTCATTTGCAGGCAATTTATAGCGACAATGGATTATTAGTATGACTTCCATGCAGCGACGGAAGAAGGGATAGTGAATGCAGCAGCTTCACATGAGGTGGAAGATGAATTTTGGAGTGGACAGTTGAGGCATAAATTTTATGAATGTGGTTACTACGTGGACGGTTAGGTTGATCTATTTTATACTCCCTCCCATAAAATAAGTCTCATTTCAAATTGGATAGGAGTTTAAGAAAGTGGGAATAAAGTGGAAATGTACGGTTGTTGTTTAGTAAGAAAAAGGTAAATGGTAACAATTTTTTGGGACGAACCAAAAAGAAAAATGGGACTTATTTTATGAGACGGAGAGAGTAATTATCTATTTTAGTCTGATGTGAATTCGTTCGATTTGAACTAGTCTAATCTAATCTGAGACTGAAATAAGACCAAATAAAAATATCTTCAATTCTCATCTCTATTTTAGGAAAATTCTTTAATGATAATTTAATAGTCAAATATTAGAAATATAAACTTATAATATCATAGTATCATGAATATCTCATTATATTATATATTCATCAAAACTACTTTTCAAAATACACTGGAATAATCATACTCCATCCGTCCCTATATAAAAGTATCTGTTCATTTTACACACATCTTAAGAAAGTGTGTTTGATTGGTACTGTTTGGACACTGTTTGGCACTGTTTTGCACTGTTTTGTTTGCCAAAAAAAGGAAAGAGAACTTTTATTTAGGGACGGCCCGAAAAGGAAAAAGATGCTTTTATTTAGGGACGGAAGGAGTATTTAATTATTATCTAAATAATTGTTTCATTTTTCAACGATAAGTTTAAGTCGGAACGGAGTATTAAAAAGACTAATGAAGAATTATGTGAATAACTTAATATATATGAATTTTTTTAATTAATTCAATTTTTTGCAAAGCTTCCTACCATATAATAGTATATGTTCTTTGTTAAGTTCAACCACCTCCTCCTTAAGAGTGACACAATGATATCATTAGGCGAGAAGGTACTTGAATTAAATATGTCAATTCTCAAATATGCGTTAGAGTCTTAGGGCATCCTCATTCATAGATTATTTTTGGAATTATTTTGATGATATGGAGGATTTTTTTGGGATCATGGATGAGGAGTTGAGATTTTTATGAGATTATTTGATAAAATAATCTGGTATCAAATTCTAAAGCTTGATTATTTTGAGATTATTCACAACTTTTAGACTCCTCTTCCCATTTTCTAGGCAATTAATAATAACTAGTTTTGTAAAAAAAATCTAGGTAAGTTAAACCATGGATGAGGAGAAATTGATAGATTTGGAGATTTTTTGAAATTATCTTATGTGGGCAAATTATACCGTGGTACTGACATACAATGAGCATAGTATGCTCGTACCACATATCACACCGTTTTTCTTTCTATTAGGAGTATTAGGCATGTTTTTTGTTTTTTTTTTTCAAATTCCCTTAAATCCACTCACTTTCTTTTCTCTCAATTCAAGTCATTCAATGCTCCAGGTATGCTATTTCTTTCACTTTACTTTTCTTTTATTTTCTTCAATTCTTTTCCCATCTCCATCAAAATACTAAAAAAATTAAATTGTCATTTTTCCTTATCTTTATTTTTTAACTAATTTAATTATAACTAATGAATTAACTTCTTTTAAAAAAAATATTACAACATTTTATTAATCCACATAAAATAAGTACAATGCATTAATTACCATACACTACTTTTGCCAAAAAATAATAACATACACTGCTTTTTTACCTTTTTCTTCAATTGAAATTACTACCGAATTTATAATTTTTTAGACGTTTTTAAGACATTGAGTTTGTTTATTTTGATTCTTGAAGATACATTTGATAATATATCATGAAGTTACATCTTCTGCGCAAGTTACTTCTTAATGTACGCGAGTTACATCTTAATATACGCGAGTTACATCTTAATGTATGCGAGTTACACCACGGAATAAACTCGAGCTATATCATTTTTATTGCCCTGATATTAAAAAAACATATTCACTATTTATAAAAAAGTAATTAAGCTATTAGGATCAATTTTTTATTGTTTACATGGAAATCAATGTTTATAATATCTCAAACACAAAAAAATCATTGTTCAATTTTCCAACAAATTACATTTTGTACACACATAAGTTACATTTGCCATAAACGCGAGTTACATTTGTAATAACGCGAGTTACATTAAAAAATATACCCCTGCTATTGAAACAAAAAAATGATCTTTTCTAAAAAATTATTTTTTCTGGCCATGATATTAAAAACAAAATATATTCTCGTTTTACCTAAAGCAATTGTGCAATTAGACTCTCATTTCTCATTGTTTACATTGAAATCAATATTTTATTTCTTATACTATGTATTTGACAATTTACATTTTGAACGGACTTGAGTTACATTGATCAATAACACGAGTTACATATCTTTACACGCGAGTTACATCATTCATGCTACTGGGATAAAAAACATCTATTGTACACGCGTGTACTGTTCACGCGGTTTTTTTTTAAATTGTGCAAAACTAAATCACTTGTGGGAGTGTAGCATGATGTTTAAAGTGCGCCGGTTACACCGTATACGGACTGTCTTATGGGGAAGTGACAAGGTAATAACAAGTCATAAAAAATCATAAACTTCAATATCTTGCATAGGGAACAAATAAACTCACATAGCATTTATGGTGCATTCACGTGTTATCACCACATACGTCCAATTATTAGGATAATATTACATTTACTACGGAGTATCATTTAAATTCCCTACAATGATTACTACTACAAACACTCGATGATATGATAACATTATAGATGAGTTGAAATCATTAATATAGATGAATTTCTTTCTACAAATCACAATGGGTATATGATATAAGCTATCATCTACTTCTACGATGCACTCATTATTATTTCCACTTACTTCAACAAATATTTATACTTCGTATAAACTAATAAACTCATATTATCTCCGTTCTTTTTTAATTGCAACATTGAACTTTTTGCACTATTCACATATTCAACTTTGACTATATTTTATTAATTAATGATTTATAAATTAAACTTTTAAAAAATATTGTTAAATTCTTCTCATTTTAAATTTTCAAAATATGAATTTTTTAATTTTCTTACTAATAGGGAAAGAAAGATATTAATGGTCAAACTTGTGTGTTGGCAAACGTGAAATGTTGACTGTTGCAATTAAAAAGGAACGAAGGAAGTATATGATATATATGAGATATGTTATGAAATATTTATATAAACTAATAAACTCATATATATGAGATATGTTATGGTGTTTTTTTTAAATATTACTAAAATAAAACTTATTTACAAAAATATGAATGATAGTTACTACTTACTACAATGTAGTGTTATAATTGATGGACTCGGGCCGGGTGGCCCGACCCGGAACCGGTACTATTCCGGCCCGGCCCGGCCCGACCCGGTGGCCCGGTCAGTGACCAGTCCGGGTAGGCCCGACCCGTGGGTTTTTCGGTCTGGGCTTGGGTCACCCAAAACAAGGCCCGACCCCGCCAGGCCCGGGCCCGGTTCGGGCCAAAACTATTTTTTTTTCAATTTTTTTTAAATTTTCGGGTTGGGCTGGGTATTTTGGGCCATTTGGGGTGGTTTGGGGGGTTGGAGGTGGGAGGGGGGTTAATTAGGAAGAGGGGAAAAAATGATAATGGGCCCGGCCCGGCCCGGACCCGGACCGGACCCGGTGGTTACCCGGGCCGGTCCCGGGTCCACCACTTCTGAACCGTCGGCCCGCCCGGGCCTAGGCCCGACCCGGACCCGGACCCGGTCCGGACCCAAGTCCATCCCTATGTGTTATGGTAACTTAAGTTTAAACTTTAAACATAAATTAGTATGATTTCATTATTACTCTTGTCAGTTGTTAGGGATTGTTAGGGCCGGTTCCGGTTCTGGTTCGGGATGGACCCGGGCCGGTCCGGTTCCGATTCTGGGCCGGGTCCGGGCGGGCTTTTTTTGCAAAATGTTGGGCTCGAAACCGGTCCGGGTTGATACCGGGTCCGGGCCTAACCGAGCCGGGCTGGGCCCGGGTCAAGTTCAATTTTTTTTTTTGGTTTCTAATCAACACCCGACCCCCCCCCCAGGAGTGGACTCGGGCTAGGCCAACCGGCCCGAAACCAGACCGGCCCCCTACTGTTCGGGCCCGGACCGGCCCGGTGAACCAGTTGGTTGGCCAGTTCGGGCCACTCGGCCCGGTGGGATGGCGTTTCGGGCTCAGGGCCTTCAAAAGGTGAACCGGCCCGGCCGGTTCGGGCCCAGGCCGGGCCAAATTTTTTTTTTTTTGAATTTTTTTAAGTTTTTGGGTTGGGCTGGGTATTTTGGGCCATTTGAGGTGGTTAGGGTTGGTTTGGGGGTGAGGGGGAGGGTTGGGGGTTAACTAGGAAAAGCCGGAAAAAAAAAAAATAGAACCGAGGCCCGGCCCGGCCCGGACCCGGGGGTTACCCGAGCCGGTTCCGAGCCTCCCCTTCATGAACCGAGGCCCGGCCGGGCCCGAACCAGAACCGGTCCATCCCTACCCCCCCCCCCCCCTTCACCCCCACCCCCCAAACCCCCCCAAAACACCCAACCCTAACCTAGAAGAGCAAAAAAATTGGAAAAAAAAAATTGAACCGAGCCCGGCCCGAACCGCCCGGGCCGGTTCATCAAAAGTTGGGCCCGAGCCCGGCCCGCCCAAACGGGCTAAAAGCCCGGAACCGGCCAACCGGTCCCGGTCCGGGCCCAAACAGTAACGGGCCGGGCCGATTCCGGGTCAGGCCGGGCCGATTTAGTCCATCCCTAGGTGTAGTGGTGTCCAACAATTCATTCAATATGCGCTTATTGAATTATTGTATACAACAAATTCATTCATATTCACTACCTTATAAAAGGAAAAGTTTATAAAAGTCATTGTGATTGGAATTTGTGATAATGCGTTGTTATCGCTTCACTTTCAAATGAACTCGCACACCTTTAAGGATGTTTTTTTTATTGAAATTTGCATGTCTGGTACTTCTCATCTGATCAATTTAAATTTGGTCTGATCAGAAATGGTCTGAACTGGTAAACGTCGGGTCTCTATGTATTTATAATTGTCCTCTGATCTAGTCTAATCTGTTTAAGTCTGGTTTGATCTAATTTGGTCTGTTTAAGTCTAGTCTAATCCAGAAAACAGTTCAAAAGAAAACATCTTTAAGTCTAGTCTAAGCACGACCAACCGATAACTTTTATAAACTTCTCCGTATTATAAAAACAGACCGTTTTATAACATTTTACAAATTACTAGTTCTATAAAACTTTTATAAAACTTTTCCATTTTATAAACCACATACCGTATAATGTACTGGTATATATAAAACGGACCTCAACCAGACCAGCAGGTTCCGGTCCATATATCCAGAGCCAGTACCGGTTTAATTCCAATCCCATTCTTGGTTTCAGTTCCTCAGTTCTAGTTCTAGTTCCTTGTAAAAACTAAGTTAACTGGTTCTAGTTCCAATCCAGTTCCAGAACCGTGTTCACCTTTAACAGCTACATGCCCGTATGACCGGACTCAATATTAGTCAATAATCCACACCCTTAATCTGCCCCTAGAAAAAGAATTAAAATCAAAGAGAAGGTCCTTATCAACTACACTAAAGAACATTTTGTTATTGCTATTAATCAACTAAAATATAGTGGGGTTACTTTTGACTGCTTTTCTTCATCGCATTGTCACTTCAAACTTTCAAAGCGCAAAAGTATCAATCCTGACAAAAAATGAATTAAATTTCCACTACAAAACATAAGAAGGGTTTTAGCACAAGGTTGAAAGTTGAAAAAGGAGATCAATCATCTGAAATATGATTATCACAATCACAATCTCCTAAAAGACCAGAGTGTACCATTTACTTCAAACTCTACAATATTTCATCATCATCTGTAATATGATGCAGTAATGTAAAGCAAGATGGCTGTTGCAGTTGTTACAATCACTTCCTGCAAAGCACAAACATATTAGATGCCTAAGTTAGGCGAGGAAGGAAATGACTAAAAGACCCTCGTGTTTTCAAATCATAATATTGTAGGGAACATTGAAGGGTGCCCTTTTTGAAATACCTGGTTGTTGTAAATAATAGCAGGAATAAAACGGCCCGTGAATTCAATCAGATTTAGGATGCCCGTGTATCCCTAAAATCGATAGTAAAATAAAGTGATGAAAGATGCTTCGATGATCAATTATAATTTAGGACTCGTTCATTTGGACTGAATTTTACTGGTCCCGGATGGCTTGTTTTGTACCAATCTGGTCTTCTTATATGTGTTATCTAAATCTAGTTCGGTCTGTTATATTTAAGCCTGTCCAAGTAAACAAGTCCTTAGGGTAGGTCAATTTGGTAAAAGAATGTGGGCTAGAATACCAAAGAAGAAACAGCAATGCAACCAAATGCCAGACCAAGAGAACGCAGAAGCCTTTTACCCATCCTTAACATTCGCCCGTTATCCGCTTCTTCCTGCATGATTATACCACACAAAATATAAACTAGGCCACCCAATGCCGTCCCCTCCAAAGCTCGGTGCTCAACATATCATCACATATATTTATTTCAAATGAAAAGGTTAAAAAAAACTTACTGTAAATGCAAGAGACGGAGGAGGCTCCAAAGCTTTTAATTTTTCAAAAATCCTGTACACGAACACAAAAGCCAAGAATTGCAAAGGCTTCCATTCGGCATTGCGTTTGATAAAAACCCAAGCTGTCTGTTGAAAGAACATAAGAACACAAGGATTACTAAAATACTAAATACAAACGACCTTTATGAGGTTTAGCATGAGATTCAAGGTTGTCAAAATTGATATTTATATCATAAAGAATAAAGAATTGTATTAGGATCATCCACATTCGCATAAAATCAGGGCAAAATCATAAGAAAACTGTGAAGAAGTTTTTTCAGTGAAATGTTTAAAAAATCATTGGATATTTACTGTGAACCATAGATATATAATTCCAATATAGATAAAAGCAAAGTCTCTCATGCAAGTGATGAAAAAATCTGTTTTGACATGTAATTTTGTGTTTCAATTATGTTAAGTGCTTATCATATGTATGATTTGCACTATAAAAATCGTATGTGAATAATAAAAAGTTATTTATGGCGGCATTTGTACAGTTGTAAGTTAAGATTTTAACCTGTAGGGTTCTTTCAATTTTGGTAATTATTAATATTTGCTTTTCATAAAATCTTAAAAATCTGCCATCACAATTCAAAAATAAGACTTTAACAAATTTGACAGTGTCACTTACAGGCCACTAAAAGATTATAATATAGTAAAACCTCATATGATGTAAAAGATATAAATGTTAAACAGTATAAGTATAGAAAAAAGTAAATGAACACAGAAAAACAACAATCATGACATTTAAAAGAAATGAACTAATTTTGTTGGTATATACTTTCTATTATTATAAATAGTTAATTATTAGGAACTACTAGTATATATATAGCTATAGTTGTGGTTTTAAAAACAAAATTCAAGATAGCAGGATGGTTCTAAAAGTACAGTTTATAAAAAGTTTAATAATTGATACCAATTAGATAAAAGAGCAGTCCGGTGCACATTGGCATGCCCACAAGGCGAGGGCACAGGGAAGGTCCTCACCACAAGGGTGTATAAAGCGCAAGTTTTCCCTTTATATTTTGACAAGAGGCTGCTCCAAATACTTGAACCCGTGACCTCTCAGTTACACAGCAACCCCTTGTCGTTTTTTTACCAATAAGATACATATCAAAGAATTGGTATCAGCGTGTACTTTATTCAACCGTATTGGTATCAAAAATATATAAATTGAAGAGATGGTACCAATTAGATACAACCCCAAAGTATTCGTACAAAATAGGTAAAAAAAATCTAGAATAGACATAAGCATAACTTCTACTACTTACAAATACAGCTGAAAGTGCCATATTAATTTGCATATCTCTGGATTCTGATTTGCTGAACCTGAAAGTATACGATTGAGCCAATTAAACTCTGACTGGTTCGGCATACAAGAGACCGAGTATCTTGGTAATTAGGAAATTAGATGGCAATATGTTATTTGCTATTGGAACTTGGAACAATAACATAACTACTCAACGTATATCAGAATTCTTCATGCAAGATAGTGATTGGAAAACATGCATAGATGGGAAATATCAAATAAATGATATGGATATTTATGGCAACCCGAAAGTAAGAACTGAGAAGTATTGTTTAGGGTTCCAACTTCCAATCAAAAAGAAAATTACAGAATTGTATATATAAAACTACTCCCTCTATCGACAATAATAGTCTTCATTCAGATAGTTTTTTTCTCCCGAAAAAAGAATCCAGTTCAGTTATAGCTAAAATTGCCAAAAAGAATCTAAGACAAGTTACATACATAATAACATATGGCATCTTTTATTAAGTAATCCGAAAAATAGTTTTATTAAGTAATACTACGTATTCAAGAATTATGACACTAATACCTTGCCAAATGCCAACATTAAAATTTTGTGAAAAGGGTTAGATATGACTCTTTTTTGTGGGATGGAGATTTTATTATTTGGCAATGGTTTCCAGAAGTTAGAGAGAGATAAAGTATCTCTTTCGTGTAGTAGTAGTAATAGAATATTGAACGAATGTTTGATATCCAATGTCTTCTCTTGTCATTGAATAATGAAATGTGGTTTTATAGAAAATTATACAGAACCATGAAAGAAAAGAAACTTTGTGATGATGTAGGACTTTAGAGGTTTGTATGATTCCTTTCATAATGGCACCAACACTTCTCGACATCTTGGATGGCCTTTCATGAAATTCAGCGATGAAGATGTTTGGGCTGAATGGCTGGCCCAATAGACACAGTGGGATATTCATGAATGATTGAAAACATATCCCACATTATTAGTGATTCAATTCTGGCTGTTATTTTGTACTACCTCCGCCCCTGCCCCCTAGATAAACAACCAAATTTGACTGAAACAACATTTAAGAAAAGGAAAAAGTGAACCACAAAATGATTTCCTTAAATGGAAATATCAGATACTTTTGGGATGGACCACTTGTTTATTATCATTCTCAACCAGAGGAATTGGGTCTAACTTGTATCGATCAAGCAACACAATATATGACTTTTTCTCCAGAAACAATGGCACACCACCAAATTTAATAACTGCAGAATCTCATATACTTCAAGGAAATGTACATACTGGCATCTAGGAACCACGCTTATTGAAAAAAGGAACTTAAAATGACCTTTGTGTTCTTCAGATGAGAATCAGTTACACGTCAGAAAAGAATGTGAAAAAATATAGGGTGCCTAAGAGGAATGTCACGAGGGTCAATAAATGAGCATCATAAGAGATGATTAACAAAAAAAAAATACATTCAGTTAACATAGATTTACATGTAAGAACATTTTGATATGATTAACATTGTTCTTACTATTTGACAGAATAGCATACCTGGGACCCCATGATACAATAGGCTGCTTATCAGCATACTTTATCTCCTTTGAAACCTGTGCTCCCCAACATCAACAACAAAAACATATAATAATTATTGAATAAAAACAATCAATGAATCATGTTAGGAATAGTGTAGGAAAACTACATGTGTATTCTTTGTAAAAGCAATGTAACTGCTTTCTGTTAGGCTTCGGTTATGCTAGCTATGCCTGCAGCTTGTATAAATACTCTGTAATATCTGATTCTAATTAAGATGATTTCATTTCTGCTTCTACCTTGCTTCATTTCTAATATGGTATCAGAGCGTTGCTCGATCTAACCATGACGAACTCTGCGTCTGATTCCTCTTCTTCTTCGCAATCATCTTCTCACATTGCTAATCAATCTTCGCCTATCATTTTTCATCATCCTCTACCTATTAAACTCGATTCAAACAATTTTCTGTTCTAGCGCCATCATGTTGAATCAGTTATTCGAGCTCATAAACTTCTTAAATTCATAGAAAATCCTCAGATACCAGATCGTTTTTCAGTCGATGAGAATGGAGCAAAAACAGCTAACGAAGCAAACAACATCTGGGAGCAACAAGACCAAATGTTGTTTTCCTGGCTCTTAGCTTCGCTTTCAGAATCACTTCATGCTCGCGTCATCTGCTGCAAGCATTCGCATGAGTTATGGAGTGAAATTCAGAATTTCTTCCGCTCCAGTATCAGAAATCGGAACTGTATAACATCGGGAAAGGTGATCGTTCTATTTCTGAATATTTGCTTCGTATTCAGACTATTGTGGATAACCTAACGTCTGTCGGTGATCCTATATCAACCAAGGATCACATCAATGTGATCCTTGAAGGTCTTCCTGAGGATTATGAGTCACTTATATCATCTGTCACCTCGCGAAGTATCTTAGATCCTATTACTATATCTGAACTTGAAGGTCTCTTGTTAGCGAAGGAATTGCGACTGAAGAAACTTCGTGAGTCCTCGCAACAAACAATATTTGCTGCTAATGTTGCTCGACTTGAATCTTCCTCTCAAAATACTGAAACTCAGGACACTTCAGAAAATGCTTCAGCTCAAGTTGCTCAGTTTGATACTTCTGCTCAGTTTGATACCTCTAATGTCAATTCCTCCTACAGAGGTAGAGGTCGTGGAGGTTTCAATAGGGGCAGAGGTGGTCGTTCAGGTGGTAGAAGCTCAGTTACTTGTCAAGTTTGTGGTAAAAATGGTCACAGTGCACTCGTTTGTTAGCACAGATACAATCCAGCTTATACTGTTACTAATTCTTCTCCTTTGCAACAACAGTTTTCATATCCTATGCAACAACCTCCACCTTCATATCCTTACTCAAATCAACTTCACCAGCCCCCATACCAACCAAATCAATAGAAAAAAAAACAAATCAACTTCATAAAAGTAAATAGAAAAATAAAATGCATGTGAATGTGCCTAACAAGTGGTTCACTTCTCAGATAGAAGCGATTCAAGAAGAATGAATTAACAATTAGAAAAATGATTGCATCAATATAAACTCGCGTAAGAAAATTAACATTGGATTATAAGGTTAACTATTAGGTGACTAGAAAAAGGTACCTTAAATGATCCGAATGTAACACCCTTCTTTCTTTGTGTTAGTTGAGACATCATGATCTTGTCATATGCCATTTCCAGCTGGAAAAGAGAATGTTAATGCAGCCTTACTCGTGCTGATAAAGATTCAACAGATCACGTGACAAAAACTCCCTTTTTTGATTAATTATGACATACTTGGGTGGCAGTTGCTTCATCGCCATTCCGTTCAGCATCTTTGCGTTTCCTAGCATAAGCAGTCTTTATCTTCTCAAACCCTGCAATGGGGTTTACACCTAAAACCTAGAGATGACTAATCATAATAAGATACCCACAAAAACAATGTAAAAAGAGCATAAGCATTTATCTCCACATTATTACCTCATAAGGATCTAAGTCACTGCTTGAGCTCGAACTTCCTCCTGCAGAGGATGCTGAACAGACTACCACCAATCTATTTCCTGGGACCTTTATGGGTAACCTAATAACAAAACAATCAAATTATCATGATCTATTATTAAAGTGGTAACAAATAAAATAACACCATATCCAAAAATGGGATTTTTCCTATAATATTACTCGAATAAAATTACTGAAAGAAAATTTGCTTCGTGACATCGTCACTACAGTCATTTGAAAATACCAGTCCTCACTGGATAGTAAATTTGAACATTAGCACTACCGTTGCTGCGAGAATACCACCTAACTACCTAAGTCCATGTGCAGTAAAAGCCGCAATTGAGTCCATTGATTTATTTTACAATTTTAGTCATGACATTCCATTTTTCACGAGAATACAACTTCATCACCCAACCAACAAAGAAAAATAGAAAATTCCTTTACAAAGAATGAGTCACTAAAGTTATAATCTTTTTTGCGCCCTTCTTCAACTATCACGAAATCCCTCCAGAAAACCACACACCAGAATATGATAGACTTCCCATCTCTATTGATAAAACGGCATTCTTGTGAAAATGAATTAAGTCTTTGAGTACGCAAACTAGAGTAAATGTGGGGGAGAATAAAAATTACCTGAAAGACGAAGGGGATAAGATTGGGGGCGGAGTTGATACTCTCTGAAAGGGTTTCCTGGGAAAAAAATGAGATGGGGATATAGTGAAGGCCATATCTCTCTGAGTTTCAAACAATTCCGGGAGTCAGAACACTGCGCCTACCAGTCTCTTCTTCAAAGGGTTTGTACCAGAAGTTTTTAATTGCGCCACCAATGAGAGCTTTTAAATACTAAAAAAGTGAACTACTGTCAATACACGTTCGCGTGGCCTAATGGATAAGGCGCTCGCCTCCGGAGCGGGAGATTCTGGGTTCGAGTCCCAGCGTGAACGATTTTTGACTCGGTTATCATGAGTAATATTTGTATTTTTTTTCTCTTTTGTATATCTCCATGTTTTTTTTGGGAAGCAGGTGGCTTATATCGATAAGAGAGAGTATAGGCAGGATACAAATTAAACTGACAAAGAACACAATGTAGACCGTCTGTCCTTGAACCTGTCTTAGAACCTGTCACCTCGTACGAAGCAACCATATTCGATAATTCTGAAATGGACTTACTTGAGCCAATGATTAGTAAACTTAGTTCTCCATCACCTGTCCTATCTTCAAGAGTCTTGGCAAAACAACATTCAAGGATACACAAAAACACATGATTTCCGTGGTAAAATTTAGCAAAAATAAATAAAAGACTAAAAGAAGTAGAATCTTTAATTCGCCAGGTGCCCCAAATCTTCACGAATCGTGGCGGGTCTGGAGACTCCAGCCCGCCCCCCTCCCTGTTTTTTATCCTTCCAACATCATGGTGTCCTCTTCTGGTTGCTCCCCCTCTGTCTCTGTAGCTTCCCATGTCCGCCTCCTTTTCTGCTCTCCCATCGAGCCGTTACTTCCAAGGTCTTTGAGTCGACCCCCTCCCCCTGAAACTGGTTTTCCATGCGGTACAATTCATGTTCCCGTTTATCCATAATATTGCTATGCCTCCCCGTTTGGTTCCTTCCTATCCCTTTCTCACCGACAAGCCATTTGCTACCTATTGTTGGGCGGAACCTCCCTCTCCCCGCCTGAAGCCATGGGCCAAAGGGTCTTGCTGTCTCTGTATCACCTTTGTCATACAGTTATGGGCAAAAACTAGGAAGTTTCTCATATTTGAAGTCCACCCAGTATCCTTCCCCTTTACCTTTTCTCAACGTAGTACTCACCTTTAAAGGTTTCCTCACATTCAACATCACCCTAACCCTCATGTAGGCTTCCCACTTTTCATCAAACTGTTTATCATCCCAAGAAATAAATTTTCCTAGATAGTTCCCAATTTTACGGGCGTAACCCAGGTTTGAAAATCCATAAGGAATATTGTGGATCTGAACCCAAAAATCAGTCATATCTACGGGTATTTTTCTGAGGCATGTCACCCTGCTTAATAGCTTTCAACACTAGCAGATTTTGATCAAACAACCAGGGTCCATTATCTAACACTCGGTTCATATCAATTTTGTGATAAAAAGTAAAAAGATATCTCTTTTCTCCGATCTCCTGAATCAGAACGCCTTTTCCAGGACGCCAAAGAGACGTCATCAGGTCGTGAAAAACTCAAATTTCACCACTTTGTCAGTAAGAATCGTGCCGACCACAGGGAAGATCTCTGCCTCCTTGCTCGCTGCCTCAGGGCCGAGTTCCTCAGTATCCTTATCATCCAACAGCAGCTCGTCCTCCATACTCCCCAGCCCCAGTCCACCATATTGATTGCTCAGATTTTCTACACCTTTTTCGCCGGTCACCACTGAGGGTTCACCCTCCTCGCCGTATAGCTTTTGCGCCGCTTGAGTTGTGGCTCTGCCACCCCCCTGTGCGATCGGCTGCACTGCCTCCTCCCTTGTTGTTGTTTTGGATGCCATCTGACTGCCTCTTGTTTGTACCGCACGCCTTTGGCGGAAGTTTCCTCAAACCCTACGGAGAGGGAACGGCCGCTTTTTTCTTATAATAAAAGTTATTTAAAAAACCAAGAATTTTATTTATTACTCCGGGTTATATAGTACTATCTCAGTATCTCCGCATTTTAAAGTTGTACTTTTTTTGGGAATGTATATTTTTTTGAAAGTAGAGCTAAAGTTATACTCCCTCCGTCCCATAACACTTGGTCAATGTTGATTTGCACGTAGATTAATAAAGTAAAAACTGTGTAGTAGATATTTGTACAAAGGAGAGAGAAATAAAGAGTTACAATTAACTAATAGCTCCAACACCACAACTTATCCTTCAACAAAGTGCATCTACACTAAAAAAACGTCTTAGGATCAGACTTTGAGACGACCACTTTCAAAGAAGCAACACGAATCGTTGACCACCAAACAGGTAACACTGAGTTCTTAAACCTTTAAGGTCACCGTACTCTTCACCACTTCACTAGACTCTTAAGAATCAGAGGATCATTTTCGTCCCACATCGGACATAGAAAAATTTACACAAAATTGAGCAAAGCTTTCGCTGAACATATGGGAGTTTTGAGACAATTACCCTCCTTCATAATAACTAAATTAGACATCTCAAACTACCACGAACACAAACAATCTAAGAGTAAAAAAGAAAGATAAAACTTAAAATAAAAATAAAGCAAACTTGAATCTTCTTTTTCAAATCACCCTAGGCACATGTTCACTCCATGGTGGAGGTTCAAGAGGAGGTCGGGTCATCAGTTCCACCTATGTCTGCAACACTCTATCACAGCCTTGTGCCTCACAATCGCTCCTTTGTGTCCATTCGACCCCTCAACCGTAGCCATGCCGCCAAAGCCCACCTTCTTGTTTGTAGCTGCACACCCTCTCACAGAGAGAACTAGTCCACCAGTCGAGCTTCACATCAACCCTACATTCTCCTCCTCCATTCTTCTCGTAGAATATGCAAAACTTCTCACAATGGGTACTCAACATTTCCAAGATTGGATCTACCAAAACAATTCTCATCTAAGACTATGTTTTGTACAACGAGCTAGAGTTGGAGGCTAATGTCTGAATTAGAGACTATTGTCTTGATCCGCACTTTGAAATGTTGAATCTAAATTACTAGCTGAATGGAGTAAACTTGTTGATAAGTCCGTATTTAGAAACGCATTTGATGGTTTCCCTAATTATTTTGTGTCACAGGTCTCATTTTTAGCTCAAGTCATAGTTATCGGGTGTTGGTTCGAGTTTTATATTGTTTGGAGTCAAAATCAGGGATTTGAGCCCAACACCAGCGCTTGAGAAGCAATCGAGATGATTCAAGATGCATTTGAGAATGAATCAATATTTTTAGAGGTCACCGGGAGAGTTACGACGAAGGTTTGACGACAAGAGAGCTTTAGGAGTGGCTACGAGATTAGATGAAGACGAATAGAGCTTGAAAACGGCGTTCAGTATGACCTTCTGTCAATCGTTCAATCATATCCTTTTGTAGAAATATCCAAAGAACACGATTAAAGTTCCATATGAAAGACAACTTCAAGGGCTACAAATCATATGAAGATACCATTGCTAGAATCTGAGAGGAGGAAGGTAAAATCAGACGAAGAACTCAGATGATCGTTGTTGCGATTCCAGAATGCGACCATCTCCCATTGTATGCATATCTTTTGATTAGATGATTAAAATCCAGTTTTGCAAGTTTTGATAGATAGAAGAGTTCATTATCTACAACTTTCATGAAGTAAGTATTGTCAAATTCGGAAGAGAAGGGTGCACTCCGTGCACCCGAAGTCAGGCACGCCGTGCCCGCTGAAGGAAACAACAAAAACCTTTCTGCCGGTCAGGCACGCCGTGCGTGCTGGGGAGGCACACCACGCCTAACCCCGGGACGCACATTTTACTCCGCAGGAACGGACGTAAGGCACGCTGTGCCTAGCACCGTGCCTGCCCCTGGATGTCTTAATTTGAGCTGAATTCATCCGCTTTCTTTAAATAAGGCCTCTATTTTTTCCGTATGAGGGAGACATAGCTTAGAGAGAGTGCATAGCACGAAATTTAGAGATCATTTCAGCCTTGTTCATCAATATTTTAGGATTCTTTGGAAGTTCCATCTTTTTAATTAATGACAATTAATTCTTTTCATCTCAATTCTATTGTTAATTCAATTATGAATTGTGAGTAGTTTTAATTAGGGGTTTGGGATTGACGAAGGGGTGAATCATGATGTATGGCTAAATTCATGATGGATTAATTGCATGAATGTTATTTAATTTGTGTTTGAATGATTGAATTGATATCTCTTGTAACCTAGAGTGACCACTAAGATTATAATTGCAGGTAGAATAAATTAAGGGAGATCTAATTTATTCTATGACACCTTCACACACACTTAATCATTCGCTAAGAGATTAGTAACGATTAAGGGTGCGTACATTTTCTCGTTTTGGCAATAAGTTTAGGATCGTGTCGCATGAGAGATCAGTCTGATCCCCTAAAGTATTGTACTCTACACCGCGAGAACAATTAGAACTTAGTATTGATCAGCGTTGCTCAATTAAATAATTTTCATGTAATTAAGCCTGATCAGTCATATATCTGATTACCGCAAATCAATATCAGTTCCCTATCGTCATTAATTAGAAAGAACCCATTAGTTTATTTGTTTTTTCGCATTTTAATTTTTCATCAATCCAAATCTCGCACAATTGCATTTAATTTATTTTATTTTTATCGTTGAATTTAGTTAATATTTAATTCTCTTTTTCCATCCCTGTGGATACGATACTCGTACTTTAGCCCTATACTGCTACACATTTTAAGTGCGAGAAAACTGAATTAATTCCACTTTAGGTCCTCCGAGTTTTGTATCATTTCCATATTTAGTCCTCGTCTTTCACTTTATCCATTTTTGATACCTTACTATTGTTTTCTTGACCATTTGTGGTCCATTTCTGAGCATTTTTACTATCGGAAAAGGACTATATATGGTCAAGAAAACAATAGTCAGGTACAAAAAATGGATAAAATGAAAGACGAGGACTAATTGTGGAATTGGTGCAAAACTCGAAGGACCATAAGTGGAATTTCTTCGAGAAAACTCATATCAGATATTGACTACTACTATTTTCCCAAATAAAAATGACCTACGGGTCGGGTAATTCCAAGTGTATATATACTGATATGTATTTCATAACTTGGGGGAAAGAATATACGTGTGTGTATCACCCTATGTTTGGGTCTTATACTTGAAACGTTACTTATTCTACATTTAGCC